AAAACAAAATTTAATGTGCTTCAAGGTTAGGCGAAAAGGCAGCAGCAACGACGACGCGCACAAAACGAAACGAAATGAAAAAAAAATAACAACAAAAAATAGAATACAAAATAAAATACAACAACAAAAAAGTTGTACGAAAAAACAAAAAAAAACAACAACCGTATGCCGAAAAAGAACGCACAACAAAATAAAATTCGTGATGAATTTTAAACAATAAAAACAAACAACAAACAAATGTTCAGTCTGAGATAGAATTTGTGGGTACGCATGGCGGGGGGTAGAGCGGGCGAAAAAGAGGGGGCGGTTGAAAGTAGGAGGCCCCCAAGGAGAGGTTAAGGCAAAGGTTAGACGCAAAACATTTTTTTTTTTTGTGAAAGAAAAAGAGCAATACGAATTGGAATTGGGAGTGGAATTGGAATTGAAGCAATCGCTAACCCGATCCTTTGTTCTTCAAGAGAAGAATTCTTCTGGTTACGTATACAAATTCTTATGATATTTACACTCACTTAATGTCCCACAATTGAATCCATCATTTCCTGTTATTAAAGGGTAATTCTTGTAACAAATTTTAGTGAATTTTGCTTAAATATTGCTTAAATGAGTTTTGGAATAAGCAATAATTTTGAAGAAAGAATTCTTCTGGAAGCTCAAACAAATTTGAAGAGTAATGTCCCTTTAATTATCATAATTTAAAGTGAATTCTTATGAAGGCAAAAAATAAGTTCTTTTAATGGTTCTTTTCAAGAACAGAATTCTTCTGGAGATATTTTCAAATTTTAAAGAATTACATTCAACGGTTCGTCAAGGGCAACTTATCTGACGAATATTAGTTCTTTTGTAGGGAAGAATTCTTCCTCTGATCACTTATACATCATGTTTTTTTTATAAAGAATTCCCAAATTCTTCTAAAGGGTATTCCCTATTCGTTGCTTATTCTTTGCTCTGACTTCTAATGCTGCTGCTGCTTCTTCTTTTTCGGTTTCAGTTGAAGAGAATTGTTATTTGTGAAGCTTTTACGGGCTTCGCATTTTCGACTGTCGTCGACAAGTTGACAAATGGCAAACCGGTTTTTGGCTTTTGGCCAAGCTTCTAGACCCCCTTTTAGTCGGGTCGGGACGAGGGCGAGCTCAACAAACACTCATTTGGAATAAAAGTAAATAATATAAATAAAATAATCGTTAGCAAATCAAAATGCATACAAATTTCAACAAAATTTCGAGGGAATAGAAAGCGCGTGGGCGAGAGCCAAGCCAAGCATCGGGAATCCAGTATTCGAAGCGGAATTGGAAACGGCTCTAATCGCTGGTAGGGTTGGGAGGAACATCAATTGGTTAATCAATTTGCCCAAAAAGTGAATTGAACGAATTAAGCTGATTGCCGGCCGACAAATGCGGGCTTCGATGTTCAATGTTCACCCTTTTTTCTTCTCTCTGGGGGATTACAAAAATCGCCCAGTGCTGTTGTTATTTGTTTAATTCCCTCTGCTTTGAGAGGTTTCCTTCTCTTCTATGATTTTTCTAGGGGTTTTTTTTTTTTTTTGTATTTACAGTTTTGTTCTCCTAGCTATATCTAAAAATTTTCCTAGTTTTTAGTTAATTGTTTACTTTTTAAAAAGTTTCATGTTTTGTTTATTTAATATTTATTTAAAAAGTTCCAAGTTTTGTTTATTTTTTATTTATTTAAACATTTTTTCTTGTTATGTAATCAATTTTCTCAATCTCTGGCTTGTTAATCAAAGGTTAAATATTAACAGTGACTGTTAAGGGACTTAAAATTTGCTGTAAAGCACTAACACAGTCTTAGTTAATTGTTTACTTATTGAAAATTTTCTGTATTTAATATTTATTTACGTTTTTCGTAATCAAGCTGCCAGGATTTTCTTAATCGCTGGTTTGTTAACCAAAAGTTAAATGTTAACAGACAGTTTTAATGGTCTTCTATTGTATATATTACTCTTCTATCTTTTGCCGATTAAAAGTAAACTTACACTTCTAGTTAACTGGCAGTTTAGCTAATTAGATGCTGAGAAAGTGGACCGTACACATCCCTAAAATTCTTGAAATACCTAGTGTTACCTGGTGATACCACTCACACCCCTATATACCGTTTGCTTGGCTTACTTGTTGATGCAAAGCCCACACCCCTTTACAGGCAGACAGATGACCACCCCTCCTATACCTCCCATCTCCCATCCGATAGATAGTTCCAATGTAGTATTGGTCAAATCTGTTGAAATGTTTACACTTGCCACATGCATTGTATGCAAACAGACGGGGGGATTTCTATATGTAGTGTATTTGCCAGCGGTGCGCGGTGACAGTTTTCATTGCTTTGGCACAACAACTACAAAAACAACACACATGTGTGTATGTATGTGCATTCAATGGCGCACAAATAACACATATTTTTGTGGAAATTATTCACGAAAATGCCCGACAGTTTTGCTTTTGACAGCCCATCTCCGCATCGAATGGATTTCGTACTGGGACTTGGATTTGGATACGGTTTCGGGTTCGGGGATGATGTTTGGTATGTGGCTTTGGTGCTACATGCTTGGCTGCCGCCCGGCTGAGGGGTCTTCCTCGCCTCTCGTCAAGGCCATAAACTAAGCCCAACTCCCCGAGTTAGAGCTGTGGCTCCTCCGTCTCCAGTACCCCGGGCCGGCCTCATTAATGCGCACTATGTGTGCTTAAAACGCCATTTGGGCGTTAGCCGACCGACTGACTGTCTCTCCAGCTGTCTCTCATTTTGTTGTTTGGTTTTTTTTTTTGTGAGCAGCAAACACTGGGAAAACAAGACCCATTAATTCCAAGTAATGCACTTGAATTATAGAAATTTTAATAAAAATAAAAGCCTACAAGTTGAAGAGGTTTGTGATATGCTAGGGTTTTGTTTTATGATCTAGTTTAACCTTTTCTGAATATAACTATAATTTACTTGTTAAAAAGTGTATAGTTTTTGTAATCTGATCACTTGAATAATGGTAAATCCAGATTTTATAATTTAAAATTATAGTAGAATTTTTCTTCTAGAACTTTTTTACTTTCTTTGATTTCAAAAAGAGTTTTGCCTTAAAATTAATCATAGAAAAATATATATAAGCTAAGACTAAACATGAATAAATATAGGAATATTTAGGCTTAAATAATCTATTTAATAATTGACTCATTTCCTATAACAAGTTACTAAAAATATTTCTACTATAAGTTTTTCACTTTTGCTCAGTGTCTCGTTTTCTTATGAAATAAGTCATTTTAGTATTATATATATTGAGTTTTTCTTTATATTAAAGCCTGAATCATAGCCCTGGGGACCTTTTCTAATCTATTGTTGTTTGTTTGTTTTTTTTTTTTTTTTTATAAATTTGTAAGGGTAATCAATTTTTTAAGGAAATCCCATGCGTGAGTGAATTGTTTTTGGATTTTTTTTTTTTTTTTTTTTGCCAGTGCCAGTTCCAAAAACGAATATCTTGGTATTCGCTCTCTTTTCGGAACATTAGACTGGATGGATTCTGCCCCCTTTTCCCCTTTTCTGAGTGTTCAGTTACTGTAACTACTGCGTCTTCTTCGGTTTTCGTTGTTGGACTGCCAACAATGGGCATCATTCATCGCTCATTCACATCGCACTCGCTGGCAAATAGTTCTGGGGCACAGAGCGCGTACATTGTACACACAGTGGAAAGGGGCTATCCTCAGGGGGGGAGAGGGGTGTGGGGTGTGGGGTGTGTTGTGCGGGGTGTGGCGTTTTCCGCAATACTTGGGCATAAATTCGCTGGGCGATAAAATGCGCAACGGGCAACACACAGCGATTTCGGGATAAGTAAAGTCCTTTTGGGGGGTTGGTTGCTAGCAGGGGAGGGTTTTTGCGCTAGTATTCGGGGGGAGAGGGGGTTGAACATAAAAATATACAAATATATTCATTAATGAATGCATTGCCAGAGATACATAACAAAAAGTTTTCGCCAAATTGTCCATAAATCCAATTGGCAATGGTTCTAAATGGCAGGCACAGTATCTGTGTATCTTTATATCTTTGTATTTGTATCTGTATCTGTAGCTGCGTATCTGTGAGTGCCTGTGTGCAGCAGAAAGCAGCTGATTAATGAAGGCAATGCCAACGAGCAAAAGAAGTGCGCAAAGAGGCAAAACACCTGTTAACCTCCGTGTGTGTGTGTGTGTGCCTGTGATGATGAGTTGGCAGTAGCCGCCGTGTGCCAATGCATTTGTATCTTCTACTTTATATATTGCTTCAAGAAAGACTAACTTTATAACTAACTCTTTTCAGTTAAAAGTAAACTTACAGTTCTAGTTAACTGGCCGTTTTGTTAATTAGACATTGAGAAAATGAATCAAACATCTCTTATAAACACTTGGTAAGTTGGTTATTCAACCAACTAGACGTACTTTTTTTTGGTAACGCAGTCACCAGTTCTCATTCATACCCTTAAAGGTGTTATCTTTCAATAACAACAGGGCTTTTCGAGTGTGTAAATATAATAGAAGAAATGAATGATTCTACTGAAAATGTCAAGTGATATGATAAGTGCCTCTGAGTTCGCCAAAAAAGTATGAATGGACCCTAGTGGACTCAAACCGAAAAAAATGTAATAAATTCCTTGAAAGTGCAATCAATGAAGGCCTTTGATGGTGTTTTTTTTATATACAGAACTAAATGAGTGCATTTTATCGATAGATACGATCCTGAATAGTATAAGTGAATTACTTTGGGTGTTACGAAACCTAAAAACCCTGACCTCTAGGCGGGCACCTTTGAACACTGCTCTCTGTCCCTTGAGATTCTGGCTAGTTTCCGGTACTTTTCGAAGGGGTTTTAGGTTCGGTTTCCCCCGAGGTGGAGACTTTGTTTACTTGCGATAATATGGAACTGCTGCAAATGTGTGAGGAAAGTCACGTATTTTTTAGGGGCAAAAAGATGGGTCAAGATGGAGGAATGAATTGTCAGATTTTCAGAATCTTGGATTGTTAACAAATGCTCACCTGTTTGTTCTGCTTTTCGGCCACCTGCTGCTGCTTCCTTGCTTCGTTGGTTGCTTGCTAACACTGTTATGCTGCTCCGCTTGGCAACACTCTGTTATGCTGCTCCGCTTACCAACACTGCTGCTCCCAGTGGCAGACTGGCAGACGGACACCTGTTTCAGTTTCAAAAATTGGTCTTGCAAAAAGGGGTGGGGACTTTCTTACACTTGTGACACTAAAGCGTGACGCTGTTTAAAGGCATTTTGGTAGTAGTAGTAATAGTAGTAGTAGTTGTTGTTGGTTTAAAGCACTTTGTGGGTTCACACTTCAAAAAAATATGTTTGGTATTTGTATAATATGGTCAGAACTTGTGATTTTTTTTAACACTCTATAGGTTTTCGCGAGTTTTTTTGGGGAATATTCTGTATGTTTTTTGTTTTACATTCATCGGTTTTGTGTTTTTTTTTTTTTTTTTTGTAATTTTTTAGCTTGTAATTTTGTGTTTTTGTGAATTTTGTGTGTGTTTCGGTTTCGGTTTCAGTTTCCGCTGCAAATGCTGCTGCTCGATTGTGGCAGAGTTGCTTACGCGACGGAACCAACACGTTGAATAAAAGTCCGAGCGACGTTCAAATTCGCTTAAAGCCAATAAGTCAGCCAGCGGCAGAGACGTCGACGTCGGCTGCGGCAGAGACCGAACGATTCTAACGCTGCGAGAACGCAACGAAATGGCATAAGGAACGAGCACGCGCGCACGGACCGAGCGAAATCGGAACGTCCAAAAGGCGCGGCCGCTGCTGCTTGTTGTTGTTGTTCTTACGTGCCGCTGCTGCCCCTGCTGCTGCTGCTGTTCTAAGTCAAAGTCGCGCCGCCATAAAATCTAATAAGAACGGCAGTGCTGTGTCAAAAAGGAGGGGGTGGTGCGGGAAACGGTTCGGAACGGAACAGAACGGGGTGGGTTGGTGGGAACGCGTCGTCGGTCGGTCTGGCTGGCTGCGGCGTCAGTTGGCGACAGCGACAGCGACTGTGGCGTTGCGTTCGAGTCCGGTACACGCAAAGCACTGAGACGCTAAAGTGCCGACGCCGACGCGACCGACGAAGCGACCGACCGACCAACCAACCAACCGACCGGTCGGAACGATTGGCAACGGGCCACGTCAAACAAATAAACAAACGCACTACAAACATCGGCCAGAGGCGTTGGGGGTACAAAGGGAGGGGGTTGTTTCTTAGAGTTAGATATTATAATTATAGGATTCCTACAATAAATAGCTATCTCTATCAGTTCCACAGTGTCCCATTAAAATTAACGATCAGTTAAAGTGTGGTTTAAGGGGGAAACATGTTAACATAAAAATACTAATCCCTGTCGGGGGATTTAATATAATAACATTAACCATATAAAAATATGTGGGAGTTCGGAAGAATATGATGAATAAATAATGTTACAATGTTTATTCACATTCAATTTAAGCTACAGGAAATCCCCTTTTACGAAGCCACTGGCCGGCCCCCGTGGCATGGAAGTAGATGGTGGAAGTGGAATCGGAACGGCAGGGCAGATATCCAAAAATTGAATGTGCACATGTGTGGTGTGTATGTGTGTGGATATGCGTGGAAACGCGAAAGAGCAAAAAGTCGAAAGCAGAACGCAAGAAAGCAAAAACAAAAAAAGAGGCACAGTGGGGCAGCTCCCCAGGGAATTGGCAAAGAAGTGGGAGGGGGAGGTACAGAGCTACTGCCACTACTACAGACTAATCCGACAGACGGATCGATTATGTAGGGATCTTTGTACACATTTATAGCGGCGGATGTGTGGGAAAGGCGAAAATAGCAAAAGCATTGGCCCCTTATCAATATTCGCATTTTATTTGGGCTGTCAAATTTGCCACCCACCACCCCCTCAGACCACTCCATTGAGTCGTTCCCCTGCTTGGTCCCATCGTTTCCAAAGTTCTTCCAAACTCCCTCGCTTCCTCTCTCTTTCTCTGGCTCTGTGGGGCTCGTGACTGGGGCGGAACGTTTGGCATCGGACTGGGTGCTGCACACACGCATTTCAAATGCAGCGACGTCAGCAGCAGCAGCGCCGCCGTGACCTTGAAAATGTTTTTTATGCTCCCCATCGATCCCTCTCGCTCTCGCTCTCGCTCACTCCTTCTTCTCTCTCTTTTTAAGCCCAAGCGGCATGCGCAGCCGGTTGTGCGGCACACTGCAAGTGTCTGCAATTCCTTAATTTTGGAGTTAACTTTATTAACTAAGTATTTGACATATTTTTATGTTTTTGTTTCAAAAGTAAAATATTTGTTAAAAGCAAGCAAAGTAATATTTTATTGTCACAATTAATTAAAACAATTATTTGATAAAGATAAAGAACAAAGGCATTTACACTTTATATTTTATGACTTACCCGGGTATTCCCTTATCTAAGATTAAACAAAATTAAATAAAATAAAAATATATGTATACATATTGGAAATATGGAATCAGCGAAACAAAAGCAAGTAAAATTTAAGTAAATTTTTAAAACTAAATGTATCAATTTTAAATGACTAAGATTTAATTTATAAATTATTTAATTCATATTATATTTCATTTAAAATGTATATTTAAAAGGTAGTTTTTAATTTGATAAGGAATATGGTCGAATTGATCCCCATTTTATGTCGCTATTGGTATTTGTGTTTGGGGCTTTTCTCAAGCAATGTCGTTGCACAAACTTTAAAAGCAGGAAAACAGCAAAAAGTCGAGACCCCAAAGCCGATAAAGCCCAAGAACACACTTAATTATTGCATAAATAACAACAACAACAACTACTACATGTGTGATAAGTTATCGGTTATCAGCTAATGGTGCACGAATAAGGCTGCGAGGCAAGGAGGTAAAGAAAGGCCGAATGAGACGACGTGACAACGCTCAAGTTACGTCGAGAAGAAGGACGCCAAGGAGCCAAAGGAGCGCTGCAAGCTACGAGTGAGAATTCTTCCCGCTATCAATCGGTGGGGTTGGGTGGGAATGGAACACCGGCGAAAAAAGCAACTAAACGCCGGCTACAAAGTCGCATAAAAACAATAACAAATGCTCCACTCTTGCAGGCAGCGTGAGAGCAAGAGCGAGAAACAGAGAGGGAGAGAGTGGACCCGCCGCCAACCGGCTATGTTCCATATCCATCCGTTTCGTTTTTCGCTCACACAGTTTGTTTGTCCCACTCACGTTTCCACGCGACCGCCGAAAGCAAAAACAAGGGGGCAAGAGAGACGGGTGGCCGAGCCAAGGGGGCGAAAAAGCGAAAGCTTCGTGGCTCGCGTTCGCCTTCGTATCGCTTCGGGTGCGCCTTCGTGCCCAGTGAATGTATTGGGGCTATTTTTAGACTCTTACTCGCATCATGCTGCTCCTCCATTCGCCGTGGATCCCGTCATTTGCTTTCTGATTGGCCGACGGGCTCCAATAGAAATGTCTAGCGGCAAGAACAACACAATGGCAATAACAGAACCCACTGTGGGGCAGCAACAACAACAACAACAGCAACAGCAACGGCAGGCACAGCAACAGCAATAGCAACAACTACGGCAACTAATATAAGTATATTCCAACACAGAAAAGTTCTATGTCGCCGTCGCCGCTGTTGGCATCTAATAGCGAATTTATAAAGGAATAAAATGAGCATTAAAAGCGCCAAGTGGCGACGGGGAACGCAGGGGAGGCGCGGGCGGTAGGCAAAACGGGAAAGAGGTTCGTGGGGTTCATGAGGCGGAGGCGGAGGGGGGGCTTGCTTGCCAGTGGCATATGGAAATTGTGCAGCAGCTGCGATGTCCGAAGCGTGCCAAAAAGTGCCCCAAAAGAAAGTGCACACAAAGCGAGGGAGACTCACAGACACAGTTGGGGTCAGACAAATAGGATAGCCAAATTGTCGCCTCACAGAAAAATACAATACTTCAAGTAGGAAGTACTACTTTTTTTTTTTAAACTAATAACTGCTTTTTAAAGATCTAGTTAAATTATTACTTCAGCCATAAAAATATATTTATAATAATTATGAAGAAAAGATGCTTATAAGAAAACTAAATTCAGTAAGCCAAAATTTGTTTTACCCTTGACATAGATATCTATCATAACTCAGGCAAAAATGTATTAATTTTAAATCGGTTTTGTGTTAGTTTTCATTAGGTTAATAAATCTGCATACTACATTTAATTTTTTAAGAAATCGAAATTTTTTTTTGGCCATTTTACCGAATTTTTGAAGAAATAGTGAAATTTTATTTTCTTTCCAACATGGCTAGAAAGACTCGCCTGTTGATGCTGATCAAAAAGATGGTATGCCTTATAGGGTCGCAAACTACCTCTTCACTAAATAAAATCATAAAAGAAAAGCATAAAACCCAATACGGGCAGCTTTTCTATGTTAGTTTTTTCTTGGTTAACATATACATTATTAAAAATTTTAGGAAATATGTACAAATTTGTTTAAATTTTAAAGAATTTTAATGATGTAAACCCTTTAAATTTGCTTACATTTTTAAATTATTAAAAATAAGAAAAAGTTTTACAAATGTGTATAGATTCAGGCTAGTTAATTTCTCCATTTCGAACTTTAGACTTTTATTTTGACCGGGCCTGTATGGAAGCAATTATATGGAATGGGATTGCGAAGGGAAGAATGGAAGCGATGGATCTGCGGCTGCTGTGCGCCTGTTCGCACTTTTGCAAGTGCAGTGGGAGAAGCTCTCGCACACACACACACACACACACACACACTCATGCGTTGCGTGTGTGGGGGCTAGCACTCCCACTCCTTCCCTTGGAAGCATCCAGTGCAGCGCTGCAGCTCTGAGTTAGTCAATTGGAATTGTCAGTTATTGTTGCTGCTGCTGCAGTCAGTGGCGCATTCATAGCTAAAATTTTGCTTTAATGAAATGCTAAAACGTGTTATGTAAACCAACAACAACAAAGGGTCAACTAAGCGGGGCGGAAGTCGACCCAGCGAATACCCAGGGATTTTTATACCCTTGCAGGGTATTATAATTTCAGTCAGAAGTTTGCAACGCAGTGAAGGAGACGTTTCCGACCCTATAAAGTATATATATTCTTGATCAGCATCAACAGCCGAGTCGATCTAGCCATGTCCGTCTGTCCGTCTGTCTGTCTGTCCGTCTGTCCGTCTGTCTGTCTGTCCGTCTGTCCGTCTGTCTGTCTGTCTGTTTCTACGCAAACTAGTCCCTCAGTTTTAAAGCTATCTGAATGAAACTTTGCATATAGTCTTCTATATGCTCTCACTGCTATATATGTCGGAACGGGCCGGATCGGACGACTATATCATATAGCTGCCATACAAATGTTTGATAAATTTTTAGAAAAAAAAGTATAACTTGGCTGTTTTTCAATATTTTTGCATCATTTTTGAGATATAGCCATTTTATATTATTCCAGAATTTTGGTAAAAATTTTATGAAAATCGGACGACTATATGATATAGCTGCCATAGGAACGATCGAGAAATTAATAGAAATAAAATTATAGCTTCGTTGTTTTTCAACGCATTTTTATTTACTCTGAGATATACGTTTTTTTTATTATTCTAGAATTTTGGTATAAATTTCATAAAAATCGGACAACTATATCTTATAGCTGCCATAGAAGCGATCGGTAAATGTATAAAATATATAAAGCTGAGAATGTAAAACTGTAACTGTCAAACTGTAAACATAATAAGTATAGGTAAAATGTAATGAAACTCTGTTTTGTGAGTGTTTTCAGCATTTAAATCTATAAAATAAACATCAAAACCAATCTGCAAGGGTATACAAACTTCGGCGTGCCGAAGTTAGCTTCCTTTCTTGTTTAATAAGTAAAATTTCTTGGCTGGGCCTGATAGGCCGGGGTCTCTACAGGGTATTTCAGACAATTTCAATAGCAATTGCTGTGCGATCTCTCTCGCTCTCTCTCTTTCTGTCTTTCTCTCTTTTTTGCATATGAATATGCAA